CACCTCCCCACCCCCACCCACAATTTTTTTTTCAACTTACACATTTTAAGGTAAAAAGTTTTTTTTATGCAAGATGAGCATGGTCTAAAACATGGTTCAAGTTGGGCGAGTTGGGTTATGACCCATTGTTTAGTCCATCTTGACCCAACCCATCTTACCCAAGTACACTTTGGGTTGGGTTAGGCAATGACTCATTTATTGACCTAACTCATCTTGACCCGCCCAAATTCAATCCAACCCGCTCATTTGTCACCCCTACACTTATACAATTATCTTTTAACCATGATCAAATCTTACAACTATAAACTCGTGTATTTTGTGACTATATATTAAAAGGCAATACTGTTAGGATTAAAGTATTGACCACTAAATATGGGACCATATATAAAATAAAAAATGAAGCTGTAAAATCTTAGCTTAAATATTAAGCTATGATGCTTAATTTATACAACAAAAAGACTCCAACTCCTTAGCCAACATAAAATAACAAAAATATTATAACTTTATTGATTGAGGGATAATAAATATATAAATATATCCTGCTTGAATCTTACATAAACGTGCATATTCAATTATATTAAAAGGCAACACGGTTTGGAGTCTATAAAACCATACTATATAAAATGAAAATGAAGGTTTGAAATCTTAGCTTATACATAAAGCTATGATGCTTAATTTATATTTAAAATCTCTGGCTTTCACTAACGTTGACTTTCTCAAAAATAAAATAAAATAAAGTTAATAAATATTATAACAACATAAACCCTTGGGATATAAAATTAAGTGATATTAACAAACTATAAAAAGAAATGTGAATTGAAAATTTCTCTTTTCAAACAACAGATAGAATATTAAATATGCGGCAAAAATACATATATAGTACTTGTAAGTAGGTGTTGTATGGGGGTGGGTGGGTCCTTGGTGACATGAGAAAAGTTACAATATTAAGTAGGGGTTTCGTATTAGAAATTTCATTAAATATAAATAAATATTTAATTCTAAATCTAATAATTAAAACGAGCTAGGTTTAATGATAAATTTAAAATTTATAAACTTTAAATTCTGATTCTGCGTCGCGTCTGTTCTAAACAACAACAACAGAGAACAATGAGGAAGGAGTACTAGATAATATAATTATTCAAAGTCAACAGGAATATATATATATATATAATTCTTGACTTACGACCATTAAAAAAAGTTATAGTGGAGTAGTAAATATTCTTTTATTTTTTAATTGAGATCTCAAGTTCGAGTCCTAATTATGGAATAGCCTTTCATAAAGACCGCTTTTCAGAATTCGGGACCTAACGATTTTCAGTTCGTCACATGAACTGAATGACAATAGTCTTTTATCCTTTCACTTTGTTTGAGCTGAATTACATTCACCCTCTACCTTTTTGTGAAATGCATGTTGCAATCAAGGGCGGAGCCGGAGTGTGCAATGCGGGTTCGGTCGAACTCAGTAGCTTTTATTCAAACTCTATATTTATCTTAAAAAAATTCATTGAATATGCACAAATATTATTTGTTTAGAACCCAATAACTTAAAAGCAATATAATCTCGAACTCATAAGGTTCAAATTCTCGCTCCGCCTCTGAATTTACAATCACAAGTAAGTGATTTTTCGAGTGGAATTTTACCTCCTGAAATGAAATTTTTCGACGTGAATCCGAATTAATCAGACTAGTGAATACCGAACATCAAGCGAAAACAAAAAAAATCTGAAACTAGAGGTGATAGTACAAAAGATATGGTCATAGGAAGTACACATGACATGGCAATCTCACCGAGTAACCGGCCAATGAGGTGGGAGTATATAATATATGGTTTTTTTTTTTGGTAAAAGATAATATATGTTTTTTTTTTCTTTTTGGTTAAAAGATAATATTTGTTTTTTTTTTTTTGGTCAAAAGATAATATATTGGCAGCAAAGATTCGTTTAGGAAGAATTGGATTACATAAATAATGACACTAATTGGTCTTAGCCTCAAATAAAAGTAAGCTCCTATATACGCGGTGTTTACCTAATTAAATGACATTTTAAGGGGTGAAATTCAAACATAGCCAGATTTACGAGAATCATTCAAAAATAATCACAATTTTAAAAGTAATCGAAATTTAGCCACTTTTTATGTAAAGATAAATCTGAACGAAAACACTGTTCAAAATTCGGAAAAATACTCCAGCATAATATACTGGAGTTCAAGTATATTATGCTGGAACTCTATACTTGAACTCCAGTCTAATATACTGGAGTTCCAGTATAATATACCGGTCCATCATAATATACTGGAGATTGGAGCACCGGTGCTCCAAACTCCAGTATATTATACTGGAGCCAGCAAAGTATACTGGTCCAGCATAATATGCTAGAAGTTCATACACAGGTGCACTAAACTCCAGCATATTATGTTGGACAGTCTCTGTTACAGCAAAATAGTGACTACTTTTAATGACTTGGCAAATGTTGGCTATTTTTGAATGATCAGTGTGAAAACTGTCTAAATCGTGCTATTTTAACCATTTTAGGATATGTTATATACACCTAAGGGGTTGTTTGTTTGATGATAATTGATGATAAATTGTAATATTTCACATGAGATAATATAGTGGCGTTTGATTGGCCGTATAAGAAGAATTAATTGCCTCTTAACTAGTGAAGTATTTCATTGACTGTATTACATAGTTCCCTATTATGAGCGTGTTTGAAACTTTGAATTGTCTTTTAAGCTGGTCAAATCAGTTTTTAAGCTTTTTTTAATGGTTGGTAAAGTTAAAAAGTACTTAAATAAGTTAAAAAATCTTTAAAACAAGTTTTGGCTCAAAAGCTATTTCTGCTGAAAAGTCATATTTTTTAATCCAATCCAAATATGCTCTAAGTATTTCATATCTCCTATATTGCTGTTATTTTATTATGCATTTTTATGGTACTAATATATCGTCTCATGTTGCTTTTTTGAGCCGACGGTCTCCCGGAAACAGCCTCTCTACCCTTCGGGGTAGGGGTAAGGTTTGCGTACATATTACCCTCCCCAGACTCCACTTGTGGGATTATACTGGGTCGTTGTTATTGTTGTTGTTGTTGTTATATCGGAATCTATGCATTACTCCCTTCGGTCCATAATTAAGTAATTTGTTTGCCTTTGGCACATCCTTTAAGAAAATACTATTGTAAGTCCAATAGAAAAAGGGCATTCCAACTAAATTACCCGTAATTAATATTTACAAATTATTACACCTTGGCATATGTAAATAAGGGCGAATTTTAAAAAAATAAAACTAATTCATTCTTGATTATGTAAATAACACTTATTTTGGACTAAAATAAAGAGTCTAAAAAATCACTTATTATGTACCCCATTAAGTTATATCGGAATCTATGCCTTACTCCCTTGATGACATAATTATACATGCCATCACATAGGGATCAGACTATTTAAAAGCAAGAATTTCTTTTTAAAATAATTCATATATATATATATAATATTTTTTTATTATTAATCACCGCATAAGCACTCCTTATAATGATTATCCATATATAACTAATATGAGAACCAAACCACCCCTAACAGCGAGAAGAATTTTGTATGTCCTATGCAATTTTATTGATTATAACAAATTATTACTTTAATTTTGAAATTACTAAAATTTAATATTCAAATTTTAATCCAAATCTTCCCACGTTGGATTTGCCTGGATTTAATGTCAACTCTCTCAAACTGACCTTTTCCCTTTCATACTTATTTAATTTTTGGAAGGTCACCAATTATCTTCTCCTATAAAATCTTAGACACAAATTTAGACTTTTTTATCTTATCATAAGCATTATCTATTTCACCACCTTTGAAACTTCGCAGCAAAGAAAAACACAACCAATATAAAGAAAATTTCCAAGAAAAACTCAAGTATTATACAAAGAGATGAAGATGGTTTGGTGTCCTGAAAAAGCTTCTAAAGCTTATCTCGATACTGTCAAATCAGTAAGTCCATCATTTCTATTTTTATTCGACAATATATATGAAGCGAAGAAGAGCCTTGGCACAACGGTAAAAGTTCAAGCCGAGAAAACAGCCTCTTGCATTAGAAATGCAAGGTAAAGTTGTTTACATAAGAGCCAATGTGAGTCGGCTCTTTCCTGGAGAGCTTATTGCGTCAGATATCTCTTAAAATATACATGAAACTTATCCAGAAATTAGAGTTAATGGATTTAGAATCCAAAAAAAACTTTTGTCGCATGCTAAAAGTATCCTGAAAACTGTGATCTTAAACATGTCATGATATTTATTTTTTTACCATAAAAGTATCTCATTTTTTTTTCTTTTCTCAATCTTCCTGCAGTGCGAGTTACTTCAAGAATCCAACGTAGCAGAATTAATCTCAGCAATGGCAGCAGGATGGGATGCACAAATGATTGTAGAAACATGGTCACGACGTGGGGACGACGCTACATCAACCAGTATCGGCCTCTCTATCGCCAGCAAACACACAGGTGGCAAACATATTTGCATAGTGCCCGACGAAGATTCAAGAATTGAGTACACATTATCAATGGAAAAAACTACCGGAATATCGCCGGAAGTTGTCGTTGGCGAGCCGGAGGAAACAATGGAGAATTTAGTAGGAATAGATTTTTTGGTAGTAAATTGTGAAAAAAATGATTTTTCAAGAATATTGAAGGTGGCTAAGTTAAGTCATAGGGGTGCAGTTTTGGTATGTAAAAATGTGAGTTCAAGAATTGTTTCGGATTTTAGATGGAGAAGTGTACTGGACGGAAAATCAAGAATTGTACGGTCCGTTTTTTTGCCGGTAGGGAAGGGACTGGATATTGCTCATGTGGGGGCTGCCGGCTCCGGCACCGGCGAAGGGAAGCGTGGTACCGGCGGGAAGATGGAGAAGAAATGGATTAGAAGGTTTGATAGAGAATCTGGTGAGGAGTTTGTGATTCGAAAGTGAAATTCTTTTGTTTTTGTTTCTAACAAAGAAGAGGAGCCTGGGCTGCCTTTTTTTTTGTTTCTAACAAAAAAATTGTTCTTGTTTTTTCTTGTCTTTCTCTTTCATTTCTTTTGCTATTGTTTTTACTTTTTGGGGCATTTTTGGGTGATGTACAAAGATCATACAAAGTTGACAACAGATCTGTGGTTTACCAGTATTGGTTTATATGCTGGTGTGATTTTGTTGACATTGAGTTCATGAGCTGTACATAATAGTTTGAGATTGTGAGTGAACTTGAAGTAGCATTTGTAACAAAGAGAAAATCATTAGATGTGTTATGAAAGCTAGTATTTTGTATTTGCACATGACCTTAAATTAGTCATTCCTTACTTTTAGTCCCCAGTTGTATATAAAGGCTCGTTTGGTACGAGGGATAAGGAATAGTTAATCCCGGGACTAAATTTAAGAAGAGTTTATCCTATGTTTGGTTGGTAGAAAACTGCAGCATAGTTAATCCTGGGATTAGTTATCCCGGGATTGTAGTGTCTTTTTATCCCCATAGAAATGTGGAGTAACTAATATACGGAACAATTAATCCTGAGATAACTTCTTTCCAATCAAACGACCGTTCATCCCCTCCCGTGTTGCAGATCTAGAGATAGAACCCACTAATCAGAAAGACATGATTTACCGAGACTGTTCAAATAGGCATAGGCCAACTAAACAGCATTCTCATGGAAATTGATTTTATGCTTATGGGAGTAGTATGAGATCCGTAATTGGAAAAATATCACCTGTATGGGATCGTAGTATGGATCTGATTGAACACGCTCTGCGAGCCTGATAGACAGCTCGCTCATTGTCAGAGGCATCTTCCACTTTGTAATTGAAGGGTTCCAAACCTCGCTTGCAGAGCCTGATAGACAGCTCGCTCATTGTCAGAGGCATCTTCCACTTTGTAATTGAAGGGTTCCAAACCTCGCTTGCAGAGCCTGATAGACAGCTCGCTCATTGTCAGAGGCATCTTCCACTTTGTAATTGAAGGGTTCCAAACCTCGCTTGCAGAGCCTGATAGACAGCTCGCTCATTGTCAGAGGCATCTTCCACTTTGTAATTGAAGGGTTCCAAACCTCGCTTGCAGAGCCTGATAGACAGCTCGCTCATTGTCAGAGGCATCTTCCACTTTGTAATTGAAGGGTTCCAAACCTCGCTTGCAGAGCCTGATAGACAGCTCGCTCATTGTCAGAGGCATCTTCCACTTTGTAATTGAAAGGTTCCAAACCTCGCTTCTGATGGCTGATCAACAAAGAGTATATGATCTACTCTTGCTAACCCTCTATCGACAAGCCTTCCATACAATATGCAAAGTAGGAAGAACCAATAAATGGAACTATCTGAATTCGTACACGGATAGTAACTAGTTGGCAGAATTTAAAACTGAAGACTACTGATACAAGAACCAAGTCGTTCTAATAAAAGCATAAATAATGAAGATGGTGACACTGACAGCCTATATAAAAGGACATCCCATGTTTACGCAGACTCCGAAGAAGGGCCACATTCCAAGGGATGTGATAGAAGCAACCTCCTACCTTGACACAAGCATTACGGCTCGAACCTGTAACATAAGTCACGCAAAAATAACTTTATCATTGCTCCAAGGCTCCTTCTATAAGGAAGACCAATTCTAAAACCTCCACTGATATAAGTATTAGTTAACCAATGAGAGTAGCAAAACTGTGGATTGCATTAGCATATCCACCTTGGTACTTGTAAAGTGAAAAACTTATCCAAAGAAAGGAGATTTGAAAACTTAACATGCTAGCTTACCTTAATTTTTATTACAGCCCTTGAAGTTCGTGCTCTTAGAAACAATGAAACTTGTGGTTACAGCCTATGAAAATAACAATAGCATGCTAGCTTACCTTAATCTTTATTACAGCCCTTGAAGTTCATGCTCTTAGAAACAATGAAATTTGTGGTTACAGCCTATGAAAATTACAATAACCATACGAGTGAAAACAGCTAGAAGCTAATACGTGACGTCTGTGAAACTGTCATCTAGTTATATGTGGATAAAAAGAAACAATGTGCCAGTCTTTCGACAATAGCTCTTGATTTTTTTAGGACTGGCACATGGATCTCTTCCGCCACGTCTTTCAATAATAATCAACAGCAGAAGAAACTATTGGCCAGAGTTCAGCAAATTTTTGATATCAGAAATCAATCATCAGTTATAACTTCTTTTATATATGCACTTGTTTTTCATGCAGCATTCTTTTCCTTCCCCATGACAGCCCTGAAACCAACAGTGTTTTGGCACTAGATTACGGATACAGGAGTCATGAAAACAGAATCTGTGGAGAAGAAAATGGTTAGAGCTCTTACAACTTAGAAAGTTTTTTTGCAAGCCCGTCAGAAGGTGGCAGCGGAGCATATGAAGCAGCATTGATTATTTCCTGTTTCATCACCCATCGGAAGTGGATATTTACTATTTAGGTTTGCTCAACAAGAATCACAAGCCAATTAAAGACAACATTACGCTTCTTAGTGCCGATACATGATACTATCATTATATCCAACTGTGCTTATCTGTGGATACTTATCGTTATTCTATCTCTCTGAGCTAGATTTTAGATAGAACAGCCGCACCATTTCGAGAAATGTTAATTAGAGATTCTTATATGACAAATTTTCTCCTTCCTCAGTATATACCACATTTGTGCGAAAATACACACATTAATACCTGAAATTTCCCCAGCAATTTCTGCTTTTTTGCCACAACATCTTCAAAATTATTCCTGGAAAACAATAGAGCAGGATAGTATTATTACTTGGTAAACAACCAGGAAAAGAAAGCAAGAAAGAATTTGAAATCAGTAGAGAGCAGATTCTAACTCTTGTTTTCTAGTCTTAGTTGAAGTAAGCACAAGCTCCCCATCCTTGATCCGACTCTTTTCCTGTTCATGGCCATCAGAAAGTCATTTTCCTATAATAAAGTGCTAAGAAGGGGACGGCTTGATTTTGAAATTAAACACAACATAGAAGCAGTTCAGGTATTTTTGACATCCTAATTATCAGAACCAGCAGAGATTTTCATAGTTACATCAAGTAAGACAGGAGATAGTGCATGTGATAACCATCTCTAATTGGATACATATGACTTGTTTAAGTCATTTATAATGCTTTATATTCTCTAGCACTAGCATGTGGAATAATACTTTGGATGGAGGAGGAAGACCTAATACATTTTTTTACTAGTGGCTAACCAAGACCGTTTCAACAGGTACAGCCAGCCAGAAGTGTTAGAGTGGAGATACTTTATATTCATTTATCTACAGCTTTGCTCTCTCAGGTGCGAGCCTGATCCTTTTCATTGGACAAGCACATGAAAATACTAGGTAACAGGTAGTGGTGAGACTCAAATATAGTACCTCTACCTACTCTGATACAATGTTGAACTACGTAATCACTTCATCTAAAAGTTTATGTTGTTAAAACGGGAACACCTTTATCTAATTATTCTAGGTCTGCAACAGTTTTTCTACACTAAGGGCGTGTTTGGAAGCCCACTTATAATTGGATTTGGGCATAGTTGGATGTAATTATACAGTTTACTTGGTCAACATGCAATTGTGTGTAATCGAGGGGGATCGATTACACTCTACAATTACCGGAAGACTTTTCAAATTCTTTTTAATACTTCTTATATATACATATATTTTTTTTTGAATTGATAACTTTTGTATATATTGATAACATCAGTACAACCTAAATTTACAAGTAGGTGGTAAGTAGATGTGCTGGTGTGCAACCTAGCAAGATCCTAGTATGTCTACGATTGTCAATGTATCTTCTGTGTAAATCTGTTTACACCAAAAACAAAAAAGAAGAATACAATTGAGTTTGATCTTCTGTACTGGGTTGCTTCTATCTTCAAAACATCTAGCATTCCTTTCCCTCCAAACTGTCCACCAGATACAAGCCGGGACAGTCCTCCATCTATCTCTGTTAGTTGCTTCAGCACCAGCTTCTTCCCAACTATAAAGAACTTCATTAATCCTGCATGGCATTGTCCATGAAATACCCCTAAGACTAACAAAGATTTTTCATAGTTGGTATGTTATCTTGCAATGTAGAAATAAATGGCTAACAGTCTCAGCGTTTTCCCCACATAGGAAACATCTTGAACACAGAGAAATTCCTCTTTTTATGAGATTATCCTGGGTTAATACAGCCTCATTTGCTAGTAGCCAAGAGAAATATGCCACCTTATATGGAATCTTTGTTCTCCATATATGCTTCCATGGCCAAACATCTATCTGAAGATCATTTTGATTCAAAATCTTAAATGCATCCACCTGATAGACCACTCTGTTGTGCCTCTGCCACCAAAGTGAATCCACCCCGTCCTGTAATCCTTTAAATGCTTCCAGCTCTTTGTAGAGGTCAGTTAATCTTGTTATCTCTCAGTCATTCAACTATCTTCTAAGAGTGAGTTCCCATCCTTGATAACTCCACATATCAGCTGTTGTCCTATGCTGGTTTTGTGCCAAACCAAATATATCGAGGTATCTTTCCTTTAGGCATCCATGTCCCAACCAAATATATATACATATATTTGTCACACAATAAAACTAATTTACATGTTCATATGAAAAAGCTTATTTAAATATTTATAATTAGCTTTTATTTAAAATAAAAGAATATCCAACTATGTAATCACACTTGTACAACCAAACATGACACTGGGAATTGCACATTGATTACGTATTGGCAAACACAAGGTCATTGTAATTAATATACTACTCCCTCTGTTTCAAAAAAATTGGCATAATTCGGAGTACGATGGTCAAACTACTTAACTTTGACTGTGAATTTGGACATAGATTCTTCAAGTTTTTGAAAATAAAATTTATATTTTTGGAAACTACATAAAAAGTATTATAAGTCATAATAATTTATAATTCAAAATATTTATAAAATATTAAAGAAAAGCGTGGTCAAAGAACAACCTCGTAGACTTCCCAAATAGTAATAGTGTCAATCTTTTTGAAATGGAGAGAGTATGTAATTTAAGTCATCGTCATTCAACCAGATGGCATACAATCAACACATACACAATAAAGATTCAGAGGTCTAGTTTTTTTGTTTTCTTAAGGATTCAAAGGTCTAGTTATTTACTTTTTAAGGATTCAAAGGTCTAGTTATTTGCTCTTTAAGGATTCAAAGGTCTAGTGTTTTGCTTTTTAAGGATTCAAAGGTCTAGTGTTTTGCTTTTTAAGGATTCAAAGGTCTAGTGTTTTGCTTTTTAAGGATTCAAAGGTATAGTTAATTCCACTTGAACTTCCATGAAGTCAACTTGGAATTAAGAGAAAGAATGGAAATCCAAAACTACTGAAGCAAGATGACGAAAAACAGGGCGACCAAATTTCACCTGACATTTCCTCAAGGACATAACGTAAAGATAAAAAACACTAACCATGAGCATGATCCTCTCCCTGACTCTTTCACTCAACCAATGAGCATTTTTGACATCAAGCTTCATAATAATTTTTGTGCCAGCTGCAGATAAAAACAACTGTCTTTGGGATTGCATTTACAGAAGACATGCTGTTCACATGTTATGTCAAGTCAAAGAACAACCTTATCAAAAAAAAAATGTCAAGTTAAAGAACTAACAGACCTGTGTTAATACTTCTAACACGAGCTTTGCTTGCTGCAAAAGGAAAACAATTTCATTGATATTACACTTTTAAGAGTCAACGTAACAACAACAACAACATACCCAGTAAAATCCCACTAGTGGGGTCTAGGGAGGGTAGAGTGTACGCAGACCTTACCCCTACCCCGGAAGGGTAGGGAGGCTGTTTCCGGGAGACCCTCGGCTCAACGGAAGAGACAATAATATCAGAAAAGAAACGAAAGAAGAGATATAGAGTCAACGTAACTGCTGAACATATTCTCTAAGATAAATCTTTACCTGTACTAGTATTTGGCTTCTGATTTCCTTTCTTCCCTTTCTTCGTGTTAGGCTTGTTTGTCTTAGTCTTTGTGCTTGCTACACAGAATATCCAACTTTCTCAGACATATGCTCTGCTTACATTGGCCAATATTGTAAACCAAGAAGTCTACCTGTATTAGTGTCTTCTGTATGACTTCTGGAGTCAACATATCCCGCAAAGCTCACAGAAACATGACCTGCATGTGACAGTAAACGTGAAAAGCAAGCGGACCACCAATAACTAACATCTTCAACATACAGCTCCTCTCAAAAAGAAGCCATACTGTTAGAAAAATCTACTAGATAGCAATTGTATAAGTGGCAAGCTCAGAAATTCTAGGCAGAACACAATCACACATTAATATCAAACAAGCCTGCCCAATATGTATTTTCTAGTTTTCCCACCCATGCAAAAACATCACCCTTCTGTAATATGAATTTTAATTAAGCCAAATGATGACAAGCTAACGCCCTAAACTTTCCGCTCAACAGAAAAAGATTTAATCAAAGGGGTGTTAGGCTAGTGGCTGTTGTATAGTCACAAAGCTCGAATCCCTGAATTTACCTAATAACAAAGTGAATTATCAAATATATTTTTATTTATCGAAGATTAGCATCCTCAACCGCTCCTGAAACTTCATAGTAGAGAACCAATGCATAATGTTTCACTCATTAGAAAATAGGATCATTGAAAAATGCTTAGCTTCTCTATTTCACGTAGCCTACTCCGAATTCATGTAAATCATACAATTTAAATCTCCCATGGTGAAACAAAAAGCTAAAGTTCAACTACTAAAAGAGGCGGATGTAAGGAACTGAAATAATGGATGCATCTGCACCAATTGCCAAAACTCTATATCTGTCATTCTGCCATTAACTTCAAACTTCAGCACAAGGAACTTATCATAAAATCTCAAGCTAAAGATTCATCTCCTCACGCCAATACTCATGGGGTCCCTAAACTCTATGCATAAATTTACACTAAACTCTACCTATATGCTCCATCTATCCCCCAAAGTGATTGGCCCCTCAGAATATTCGTTCCTTGATTACAAACTCAATAAACTTTTGACCATTGGTCTCAGAATAATTGCAACTTATCCTAGTTTTCCAAATATCTAAATTTTAATTCAAACAAATGCATTTTTTTTAATCAGGTAAATTGTATTAATCAAAAGGGAGAGAACTCCCGTATACAAGAAGTATACCAAAAAGTAGAGAATTTACATCAGAACATGATTCTCTACAAAAGACGCCCAATCTCTATACAAATGGGGCCAAACAAATGCATTAATTTAGCCTGATTTATCTCCAAACATCTTGCTTGACATTGAAACTAAGTAAACTTTGACCAACATTTAGAAGAAATTCACCTTTTTTAGATCATGGTGGTGATTGGGCTGTGCACCTCAACTACTCCGTTGGGTACCTGCTATCTCCCACTACAAAGGTATTGGGTACTCCGCCCACCAAGTTTTAGATATATGGGAAGAAATCACCTAGGTATTTTTTCCAAAACTGGGATTTGTAACTTAAATATTTTTCCTTTAATTTCCAAAAATCTTAAGTTTAACTTTAAACAAATGCAATAATCTAGTCCAATTTAGCTCCCTTAAGCTAATCAAATCAACAAACAAATTGAGTATAACAAAATTCGAACTTGCGAATAAAGTAAAATTGAAAATATGGAATGTATTTAGGGTTATTTTCGCAATAGGTTCATTTCTGGTAGAATGAGTTCGTTCATCTGCTTGAAGGAGGAGTTTATACTTTTCCTTTAATTTCCAAATAACTGAAGTTTAATTTTTGAAAAATGCAATAATTTAGCCCAATTTACCTCCCTTAAGCTAATCAAATCAACTCTCTAAGCCAAAAGCAACACGCAAATTGAGTATAACAAAATTCGAAATTGCGAATAAAGTAAAATTGAAAATATAGAACGTACTTAGGGTTATTTTCGGAATAGGTTCATTTCCGGTAGAATGAGTTCGTTCATCTGCTTGAAGGAGGAATTTGTACACCGCCGGTAATCGTCGAGGAGCTGTTTTCTTCTCGAGGTAGCTGAAACTTGATGTCGACGACGCAAACCGTACAGGACCGCCGCTGACGACGGCGCGTGGCAAGGGAGAGCGCGTACCGTTGAAACTTGCTGCTGTTAACAATTTTTGATTCGACAATTGTCTGGCGATCTTATTAGCTTGTTTTAGGATTGCTGCCATTATTGTGAAGAAGAAGACGTCAGTGGCCTAAACCCTAGGGACCCAGAAATCACAATTTTTAAGTTACGGTTGTTTATGGTTTATACTACGGCGGCGGAACCTAATTTGTTAAATACCGAATTACTATACCAAAATCGAAAATTTTGGTATTCCTTATGTTATTTGGTTTAAATTTTAAAAAATATTTGTATTAGATATAGTATTAGGTATTTTAAAATAAAATATCGAAATTTCGACACCGTACCGAGGTATATGTTATATTACATAATATACATATTATTAATTATAACATAAATATAAAAATTAAAATTTTTACTTTCCTTTATTTTCTAAGTTCATCGCTTAACTCTAAGTAAGTAACAAGATATTTTTAATGATCAAATTTATTCTTTTATGTACAGTTTTCTCTCTCTAAGTTAATATTTGCTAGTTTTGGACAAAACTTTTGTCAATAAATATTTTTAGTTTTGTACTTTGGAGCATTTTAATTCAGAATATTACATTCTATGACTTTATGCACTAGTTAGTATTCAAACTGAATAAACTAAAGTTACTAAACCGAATAAACCGAAACCGAAAGGATAAAAATTGAATCATACCGAATTTAATTAGGTACGGTATTGATATTGTATTTTAAGAAACCGAAAATCAAAAATACCGAACCAAAATATCTAAATACCGTACTATACCAACCGAAAAACATCCCAAGTTTATACTACATCGTCGCAAATGAAATGACAATTTTACTATTTAAAGCTTTTTCAAAAATGTCGTCTTACAAAATAGTTTAAAAATAGGATCTCTTGATATAATTTATCGTAAAAATTTACTTACTTAGCATAGTTTGACACTTTGACTGGAAGCAAAGTTTTAAGAAGAAATAAAAAATTTAAAATTTTTAATTTTAAATATATTATAATATTTGTGTTGTTATAAGATTTTTGAAATTTATGATCTTAATCATTTCATAAAATATGTGCCGTTACAAAAACTTATTATTAATGATAAAATAAGAAGATTATAGCTAAATTATTTTCAAATGAGATTTAGGAGCACTTTACCCCTTTTATAGCACCTATTTGGCACAAATGATATGTTTTTATATTTATAAATAATTTAAATTTAAATTTTTATTTTATTAGTAATGAGGAATTATCTTTTCTTATTTTATTTCCATCTTTCTAAGCCAAGGATCTATCAGAAACATCCTCTTTGCCCTATCGAGGTAGGAATAAGGTCTGCGTCACTATCCTTCTCAGACCCCATTTTGTAGGATTTTTACTAGGTCATTGTTGTTGTTGTTGTTGATTTTATTAGTAATGAGAGAAGTATCGACGTAATTTCATAGAGTTATTCGGTCTGAATGTTGTATGAAGAACATTAGCCAGATGACNTATATACTAGTTTCTATGAACGTGCGTTGCACGTTAATATTAGCACATAATGGCTCAGTCAATTATTTATGTGAAGCAAAACCAAGTTTTATTAATGAGATAATTATATGTGATTCAGGAAGAAAAGATCGTGGTAAAGAAATTGACATAAAAAATACAATAATCAGTTAAATGCTAATAATCAATGTTACTATATTATGTTAGCATAGTACTTGAACTCAAAATAATTGAACATCTTCTAAACGGGTAAAATTAATTAATTTAACTAAGGTAGATATATTATTATGTACTTATAATTTAGAAATATACAATATGATCTTTCACAACCATTTATGGTGTAGTAGCTTTTGTTTTGTTCTAATATATCCTTCCACTTCATGTTCATCGAGAAGTACCGTCTAGACAAGTTATCAAAAAGTAAATACCGATAACTTAAAAATATAATACAAATGTACAAAAAAATATTATTTCTTCGCCCACAAAAGCTTAATTGCATACACAAACCTTCACCTCTTGCGTTTTTATATCCTATTAATGATCAACTTCCAATGTCATCCTCAAAACACCTGTAATAACTAAGAAAAAGCTACGAAATAATACCTAATCAACTTTCTATTATCTATTGAAATCCATCTAATTTAAAGGAAAAATCAAATAATTTGTAATCAAAAGTGGCAACTTGTGCTGGCAATAGCAATAACAAGGAGTTATAAGATCTAACCGGATAATAACATAGATTAGAAGATCTAACGATTCTATAATATAAACAAAGCTACCAAGATAACCTTTGCAATATTTGGAGATTCAAAATATTTTTTTGAAATCGGCTAATCAAATTGAACTATATAAAAGCCAACAAACCTACGCGTCTTGATAAGTTGACTATAATTTCTGGATTAAATATCTAAACAATCAAGAATAGGCTACCCATAATTTATAAATGTTATTTTTCTCAGTAACATAAAAGAAATATTTACCACGCAATCAGGTCTCTATAAAAAAACAAAAAGTTAATACCTCTCGAGAAGTTTGCCGAACTTTATTTTCTTCTTCTACCAAAGCTAAAAACTAATACTTCTTAAAAAGTTTATGATCTAGCATTTGGAATACGGGCTACTTTTATAGAAGTGTTCACTCCTCATTTTTCAGAATCAAATTAAATTGTAAATTTGTTTCAAATAGAAAATGGAAAGGAGATCAAAGTTATCTAAACCAATATGGTTATTCTCAATTTTATTCATATTTAAAAAGTTGAAATATACCAACTTGAAACTTGGTAGCCCCAACCATTCGGGATTTGCAGCGTGCAATTGTATAGAGTTTGATATAACATAGATTGTAAACTTCACATAAAATATCATTATTTTCTAAAATCAAAGAACACCTGAATTTTAAGACTTTCAGTAGGTGGCAGCAATTGCCTTTCACCCTGTCGGTTTAGTACATGATGGAGATATTAATCTCACATTACAAGAAAAAGCAGAATTTGCCATTTAGTTCTGGTTTTGTATTTCCCGTGAATATGTATTCTCATAAAAGCACCATGTTAAGTTATCAAAATTACAGAATGTGATTCTGTGAAGACTAATTTTATTTTATGCAAAGACTAATTTGATCTTATAAGATATCAATATTACAGAATGTGATTCTAACTTGGACTGTCAAAAAAAAAAAGGATTCGAATAGACTAATATGTTATGTAGATGAGTTAATCATAGATTTGATTGTATGATTTGTGTACTAATCATTGAAAGCGAGTTCTAATTACTCATTATTTGAGGAAGTTTTTTTATTATTCGCTACTTAAATATAGGAATTAAATCCCAACAGGAAAAGGTTTACTTGGAGTACTTTCTATCCAATATTATATTTATATCCTTTATTAAATTGCTTTAAGTAAGAAATATTTGAGGGATATTTTTGTCCACCAACATCACTATTTGTGCTTTTATAATAATATCGATATGTGTGTGTGTGGGTGGGGGGGGGTACTTCATTGTACGATATATATAGAATCCATATGTATAGATATCGTCATCTACATCCAGAAACCCGTATGGTTTGGATGAAGCTTGTACAGGTTGGGAAGGGGTTTTAATTGATCAAAAGAAGAATCTACTTCAACCGATATGCCCTTAGGCACGACCATAAAATCACTATCGATTAGATCTGTTGACATGCGTTTTTTCTTTCATTGCTTAAACGAATAAACTACAAATTTCAAAATTTTGTGTCAAGTTAAAGTGCATCACATTACTTAGGTCGGAAGGAATACTTATTTTTTACAGCTGAGTTGTTTGGTCAATGATTTTAGAATAAGCGGGTGTTTGGCTAAGCTTATAAGCTGGCCAAACTGGCTTATAAGCACTTTTTGGCTTATCTACTTGTTTGGTAAAATTAAAAGTGCTTATAAGCCAAAAATAAGCCAAAAGTCATAAGTTGGTCTCCCCCAACTTATCAAATTTCAGCTTATAAGCACTTTAGGTTTGATCAAAATATTTACCATTCTATCCCTAAAATACTTTTTTTTAAAAACAAAACTCTTCATATACCCAGTTCTTCAGTTGCTTATTATTAATTTCAACACTTTTATCCAAACACATAACTGCTTATTTTTTAAATCAGCTTCCACACTTAAAAGTGTTTATCAACTACTCTAAATCAGCTAAGCCAAACGAGCTCTAAATATAACTGCTTTTGAGTAATTACACAAACTCAAGAAAGTAATCGTTTGCCCAAAAACACTTTTAAAACCTTAATCATGCAAAAAGTTATTATTCTAATATTAACAAAAATATTATTTTAATTGATTTTGGGCCATCTTTATTCGCTATAGTCAAGAGGAGGTGATCTGTTTTTAGAACCAGATAAGGTGAATTTGCAAAGCCAAAAAAAAAAAACGCCCACCGTGGGGCTCGAACCCACGACCACAATGTTAAGAGCCTTGCGCTCTACCAACTGAGCTAGACGGGCTTTTGTTCTGTTCTATATTATTTATTTATTTATATAACAACATCAGATTGGGCTTTACCAAAGCTATCAAATTCTCAAAAGTCAAACTTGCTGTGCTGCCGTTATGGAGTCACCCAATGCCAGTAAGGAGTCGTTTGGTAGGGTGTATAAGAATAATACTGAATAAAGTGTACTAGTAATGCAAACATTAGTTATGTAAAGATTATTTTTTATCCACTATTTGGTGTGGTATATTAAAAATTAAATTACACTGTATATTTTTTTTCTCTAAAAATTAGTTGTTTACAAAAATGTCATCTATATTCTTTAGTTTTAAGGGACTTTAAGAATAATTTTATCTTTAGTAGCCATGCTAATGCATATATTAATAGCCTTGGTATTACTAATACCACAGTTTGCTATACATTAGCTATACATAGGATAATGTCAAATAAGGTGTATAACTAATGCTTGTATTAGTTATACATAGGTTGAAAAAGTGTACCAAACAAGATACTCCTATTACTAATACACAAAGTTAATGCATGCATTATTTTCTCTAATGCACTCTACCAAACGACCTCTAAGTTATATTGGAACTCCTGAGCTCAAAAGTTAAGAATAACAATTGCACAACTCTTTCTTCGAGCTACGGGTGTACAAAGGAAACCGACAAACTGCACCAACCCGATAATCCGAGTCAAACCGAGAAAAAAAATCTGACTATGGTTTGGTTTGATTTGGTTTGGTGTTGGAAAAAAAAGCCCGACCATAATTGGTTTGGTTTGGTTTTAACTAAAGAAAGTCAAACCGAAACTAAACCAACCCGACATTACATATATAGAATTTTTTAGATATATTTAATATATAAATATACTTATTGTGATGTAATTTATAAATATTTCTAAAAAATGTTCATAATTTTATCTTTTAAGATATTATTTTAAGGTTGTATTTAGAACTTTTGAATGTTCTAATAAGTTTTATAGCCATTAACACTAGAAAATAAAGTAATGCTAACAAAAGTCCAAACCAAAATCAAATCAATACTAATGCTAACAAAAGACCTTCAATTTAATACTACGAATGAGGATGTATTGAATATCTATTTTTTATTTTGCAATAATTTAGATAAAAATGCATAACTTATTTTTATTTTTTCTTTAGCGTTTAATCATGTAATTGATACTCCCTTATTAATCTACTTATTTTAGCATTACTTAGTACTTTTATATTATGTTTATTTTTATATGGTTTTTTAATTAGCAATATTTATATTAGATAATTTTATTGTCTTTATTGTTGAATATTTTAGGATAATGCCATGACACATCTCATATTTTGTATTATTTTCTTGGAAAATACTTTATATAGTTGTATCTTACTAGGATTAAAAAAATATTTTGAGCATAATTTTATATATTTTGTTCTACGAAGATTTTACCGGAAAAAAAATACGAAAAAACCCGAATAACTCGAAAACCCGAGAGGAAAAAACCCGAGTTTTATTGGCTTGGTTTGGTCTTTAGATTTAATAACCCGACACAATTGGTTTGGTTTGACAATTATAAAGTTCGAACCACCCCGACCTATGTACACCCCTACTTCGAGCCTTGTATCTCCCTTCCCCCTCTATCTATTCCTACACAAAACAGGCCTATGAAATATAGCCAAGTGGTAATGTATCAGTTTTTGGTACTGTCGTGCAAAGGTTCGAATTCTTTTAACTCCAGCTTATTTGTTTAGTTGGTGGGATGATGATTAAAATAGTCGGCATTTCCTTTGAAATTCCCTTAAGTATTAAAATACTCCATCTCTCTTGAGTCTTAAAAGTTAGATTTTGTGCAAGATATTTTACCTCTAATAATTCAAACTAATACTATGTATCAATGTTGATGTTTATATTATTAAATTTGGTAGCATATACTTTCTTACCTTTTTCAAATTAGTTGTTTCAATGAATTTTGAGTTCTTTGAGTTTTCATGGTTTATACACTATTTGTTTTGGATAAATAATGTAACTATGCTTCTCCTGAGTCGACACTACTAGAAAACTGCCTAAAACCGTCCAGAAATACCGACTGAAGCTGGTCGATTTCGTTAAAAAAATTAAAAATTAAAATATTTTGAAAAACCGACCCGAAGTCGGTCGGTTGGCCGCAGTCGGTTTTAGCCGAATTTCTAGTAATGCGAGCGTTTATCAGAAACAATTTCTCTATTTTCACAAGCTAGGCATAAGACTTCGTACATATTAACTTCCTCGGACCTTACTCGTAAAATTACATTGCGATTGTTATAGTTGTTGTTGTTGGGCATTGTACTAATACATCTTTCTCGAGTTTAGCGTGTCTTGTCCATTTCAAGCAATGGTCCAGGAACATGAATCTCGGTTTTCTCTTCTTTGTCCTTGTTCTTCCCCTATGCAGTAAAAATAATGTACCAAAAAAAAAAAGGAAAAATATTACTGATACATTAACCATTTTCCACGCAACCACGTTAAACATCTCAAACAACTGCCTCTACCACGAAGCAACCACCTTAAAAGTCCCAAAAAAATAACTTTCTTTACTATGAAGCAATATATGAATTCCATTCTAGACTTCCTTCTTTCCTTTACATCACATAGAAAAATTCAACCACGGGTTTGCAGGTTCGACAAAACTCAGTATTTTGTGTTTAAAGATCTATATATATGTACGAAAAACAAGCACTATAAAGTTAGATATATATTTCAGAATTCACTCTCTCATCCAGAACTCACAACGTCTAAATTCTAGAGCATTGCTCGTTGATTATATGTCCGAAAGACGTCTCGGGCAAAGAATTCCAATGTGCGAGAGAGCTAGCAGTAGCAATGTACGAAAACCATCATTTCCCCCCTTGAGTTATGGGAAGAATAATAGGACCGTGCCGCGACGAACATCAAAGCAGAATAGGAAGAGAAAAACTATAGAAAGATGTAAATCTGAGCCTTGTCTTTGGAGAGTTAATGGAGTTGGTGATAATGACGATGATCGTCGAGATGTGACGACGTCGTTGGAGGTTCTTTTCCGGCCACAAACTTGTTCAGATATATTTTTTTCACCGGATTATTTGAATAATATTCCTTCTCCGCAGGGTTTTCAGGTAATTTTCTTGTTTGAGACTGAAGCGTTGAAGTTATTATTGAATATGAAGCCTTTTATTTAAGTATCTAGATAAACGATATATATATATATTTATCACAAAAAAAATTGTGAGATAANTCTTATTATTAAAAGGGGAAGGTTTAATAAAGGAGCTTTTCAGCCCTTTTGCTGGATTGTTGGTCCGCAGCCCCGCCCTATAGAATGAATAAGGAGAGGCTTATCGATGACCGAACCACTCTTATACTACTCCTTACCTCACCCCCCTTGTCACTTAAAGGAAAAGCCAGAGAAGGGGGCCTGCTGGAAACCCTCGCCTTCGGCTCCATACTGAAAAGGCCGGCCATGAAGGTATCTCAATGGTCTATCGGAAACAATCTCTCTGCAGGGTAGTGGTAAGGCTGCGTACATCTTACCCTCTCCAGATTCTACTTGTGGGAAACTACTGGGTTTATTGTTGTTTACTTTGTTGTTGTAAGGGTTTTTTTAGTTGTTCGTTATTTACATAACACTAGAAATTTTTTTGTGATAACCAAATACTAGAAAATGATATAAAGATGGTAGTCACAACAAATCTCTATATATAGGAATGGTAATGATAGTTGCTATTTATACATAGCGAAGAAAAAAAATTAAAAATTTTGGTAAAACTTACTCTCAAGACTGAAGTAAGAAGAGTATAATTTAATTGATGACAGTTTGGTGCACTAAACTGTCATTCTGTAAGGGTCAGAGCCAGTGGCGAAGTCAGGAATATTTCTAAGAGTATTCAAACTTGATAAAAAAAGTAAAACAAATCTCCGGCAAAATGGTGTTTAATATATGTTGTATACCTTTAAAATCTAATATTTTACCTATATACCAATAATTTTCCGACGAAGGGTGGTCAAATGACCATCCTTACCAGAATGTAGCTTAGCCCCCCGTCGGGGCAAGGGCCGGACAATGTATATCTTAGTATGCAACCTTATCTCATATTTTTGCAAAAGGCTGTTTCTACGACTTTATATACATATATACTGAGTGATTCCTAAATTCTATGAAATTTAACTTGTTGCAGGGGTACAATAAAGATGCCAAAGTTGTGATTAATGTCACAGTTGAGGGCACTCCTGGACCAATTCGAACCATGGTTAAGTTAGGATCCAGTGTGGACGAGACCATAAGATTTGTGCTAAGCAAATATAAAGAAGAAGGTCGCAATCCTCATCTTGATGAAATTGCTTCTTCATCATTCAAATTATACTCTTCTTACTTCAGTCTTGAGAGTAAGTCCTACTAAAATTTTAACTTTTTTTCATCTCTATGTATATAGATGACAACTATCATTACCATTCCTATCGAAATCTGTTATGATCAGAGTCGGATCCAGGAATTAAATTTTTTCGGTTCAACTTTTAAGAATCTTAACGTTAAATTCATTATATTTTTTAACTTATGACAAGAGGGGTTGCTCTGATGGTAAGCAACCCCCACTTCCAACCGAGAGGTTGTGAGTTCGAGTCTCCCCAAGAGCAAAGGTGGGAAGTTCTTGGAGGGAAGGATGCCGGGGGTCTATTTGGAAACAGCCTCTCTACCCTAGGGTAGGGGTAAGGTCTGCGTACACACTACCCTCCCCAGACCCCACTAAGTGGGATTATACTGGGTTGTATTTGTTGTTGTTGTTATTTTTAACTTATGAGTTCAAACCTACAATTTGTTGCGATTTTAATGAATTTTTACTCATAAATTTATATTCAGATGAACCCGACGCCTCTAGTCTACATCTACTCCTGGTTGTGACTACCATCTTTAAATCGTTTCTAGTGTTTGAGTTATAAAAAAGATTCTCTTGAAATGGGGATACTGACTTGTTCGGGCAGATCAAAAGTTATTTTCCTTGCAACTATCTTAACTCTTTTAACATAATATCACTTATTTCAACACACTTAACGTTGTTATTAATCTTTAGTATAAAACATTTCATCAAACTCTCTCCTATTTTTTACTATTATTAATCTTTAATATATACTTTTCCGTAAAAAAAAATTCCACTTAGTATTAGCCAAATAATTTTCAAGAAAATGTTTTCTATGAAACTTCCATTGTACCAAGTACCAGAGGCGGATTCGGGATTTAATGTTTATAGGTTCCTGCAACGACCTCGAGTAAATTTTCAATAGTAACTGGGTTCACATTGAAATATTTATAGATATAGTGAATTTTTCGAATACATCTATACTGTTTTGACAAAAGCTACTGGATTCACGTGAACCCATAAATCGCACGATGGATCCGCCCCTGCCGAGCACCCTAAGTTGTATGCACATTAAGTGTGATAATTATTGGTTAAACATATTGTTTTAAAATTCACTTGCCATGGGTAAAATTTGTCTTTCAAGTATTTTAATTATTTGTTTTTAATTATGTCTCCAAATAGGCTTGAGTAATTCAGATATGATTGGAGATGTGGGGAGCAGAAGCTTTTATCTTCGCAAGAGTAATAATAATGGAAATAATTCAAGAAATGCAGAAATAGCAATGGAGATTACTTCAATGGAGGCAAATTCTAATCCAATTCTTGCTATCCCAGGATTATTTGCTTTGAATATCAATAAAATGATAAGAAGAACAAGCAAGTTTTGGAAATTCCTTGGTTGCATACAGTGTTTTGGATAACTGGTTAAGTCAGAGGCGAATATAGAACGGATTCAACAGGTTCAACTGAATTAAAGGAAGTATACATGTCTCTCCCTCACGGATATTCTCCACAGGGAGAGAACTCAGTTTGCCGCCTGAATCAGTCCCTTTATGGACTTAAACAAGCGTCCCGAAATGGGTTTGCAAAATTTTCTTCTGCTTTACTGGATGCTGGTTTTCTTCTATGTACTTTCAACTGGAATCTCTGTACTTGTGCAAAAAAATGTAAATATATCAAAAATTCACATTTATTATGAATGTGTATTCACATTCAGAAAAATTCACATTTACTATAAATTATTGTTTGAGTAACATGAGTATTAGAGTTGTTACTCTACATATTATTGCTCCTTTCCTCTTTACTGTATCGAGGGTCTATCTGAAGCAGTCTTTCTACCCGTTCAGGATAAGAGTAAGGTTGCGTATATCCCACCCTTTCCAGATCCTACTTGTGGGAATTCACTAGATTTATTGTTGTTGTTGTTTCCTCTTTATTTGTCTTATATCAGTCAAATGCATATCTTAAAGATGTGAAAGCGTGTTTATCTTATTAAGAAGGATACGCGTTGCGAGGTGTTAAGAAGGATGCGCGTTATGCTTTTTTTTTGTGCACACTTAATTGATCCAACTATTTCATATTCGCGCCGATATGGAGTCACTAATAGAGATAAAGCGCTCCCTCCTAAAAAAAATTATAACACCCATTTTCAAACGTCTAACTATTGTTTCGTGTTGTCAAAGATTTGAACAATGAAAATAAATGACGAGTGCGTGATCGAATCGATCACGTCATGTAGGAACAAGGTTCAAGTCTACCGGCTTGTTATCTGGACGAGCTAAGCAAGCCAAAAATCTGCCACGTCTACAAAGAAGCAAATCATGTAGCAGATGTCCTAGCAAATAATAAAATACTGTTATTTACTATAATTAAAAATCCAGGCAACTATGTGATTAACAGAGTTGACTTTTAATTTAATTAATTAAGTACTCAAAAATTAATCAACAAAACTATTGACAGCTATCTTCTAGGAACGATTCCGGCTCCGGTTCAGAATTAACAGGGGGCGCAATACGCACCCGGCGTTCCGATCACGATCTCCAGTTATAATCCACTCTTATCGTGCGCCAGTAGGTAGAAACAATGGGAGATGTATGGACATGGCTACTTTTCTTCTTCATTGTCATAGCTATACTTATTATGCTTATTTTTCAGGTAAATTTCCTTAAACCCTTACATTTTTAATTTTTTTGGAGCAATTTTTTACTTTTTTTGACTTTATGCTGCATCCTTGTATTGTAATTGTTGATATGTTTTTCGAATTTAAGTTCTATGCATGGGCGGTGTAAAAGATATTTATACAATCAAAGTCATTTATTAGGTAAAATCTTTTTATAAGCATTAATTTATATTCTAGTAAAGGGCATCCGGTGCATTAAGCTTCCGCTATGCGCGGGTCCGGGGAAGGGACGAACTACAAGGCTCTATTGTACGCAGCCTTACTATGCATTTCTGCAAGAGGCTGTTTCACGGCTCCAACTTGTGACCTCCCGATCACATGACAACAACATTACCAGTTACGCCAAAGCTCCCCTTCATTAATTTGTATTATAGTAAAAATGATAATTTGCCTGCTATCACAGGTTAAAAGTCAATAATAGTATAAAAAGTTCCTTACACTAACTTAATTCCTTTTCCAATCTACTGTAATTATTACTCCCTCCGTTTTATTTTACGTAAAGAATATGATGAACATTGTCGAATCTTATGGCCTTAAATTATAGGTGTGTATAACATGCAAAAAATACCTATTAAGGGTAAAAATGAAAATGTTGAAACTAATAACTTACCTAGATATAGAAAAATACTATGTTGCTCGAACTCTTCAGAAATGTTGCCGGGTGTGTGTCAGATCTTTCAAAAGTAGTGTATTTTTGGAAGATCCGACACAGGTGCGGCAACGGTTTTGGAGAGTCTGAACGTCGTAGGAAGTAAGAAAGCAGTTTTCGAGTTTCTGAATTTTCTAGTTAAAAGTTAGAAGTTCTCATAAGTAACTAAGAGATAAAGGCATTGTCTTGTTAGTTTGGATTAAGGCTTTGTTGTTATTGTCACACTTACATTCTGTCTTGTGTTTGCGGTGGAATTTTTTATTCTGGTTACTGGTTAGAGACTTTATTAGTCCTTTGTAGAGGTAAAGGTGAGTTTTTTTAGAGCGCGCTTAGTGTTAAGGAATATCTAATTTGCCTTAAAAGAGAGATTATTGAATACTGGAATGTAATGGGGTTGAATAAAGCAAACTGATATAAAGAATTCATGTAGTTGATCCCAACTAGTTTGCGACTGAGGCCTAGTTGATTGATTGATTGAATTAGCTAAAAGGTTTAAGCTCCTAAGAGTAAATCTTATGTTTGGACATCGCTTCATATCAATCGTGGGAAGGTTTCAGGAGTATTTTGTTGCAACGGACAATAGAACTTAGTCTTGGAATTACAGTTATTCTTAAGTTGGCTGCTATGGTTTGTAGAGGAATCTGATCTTCTTCAGCTATTTCGTGGCATATGCTATATATTTGTGCCTAAGGTTTTCGTCGAGGAATATGCAAAAACAATATCTGCATCTCTATATTTGACAATATTTGCACTCCAGTGTGGACTCCGAATCCTTAGATACTCTGCAATCACATTTTTGTTCCAAAAACTATTCGGCTTTTACTATTACTTAACCAATACTGCTGTGAAGTCACGCGCATTTCTGTTTATAACTTGAAATCTGACAATTTGATATTCATTGCAGCTCATTTGCTTAAGTGATCTAGAGTTTGACTATATCAATCCATATGATACTGCTTCTCGTGTAAACAAAGTTGTTTTACCAGAGTTCATCACGCAAGGAGTTTTGTGCTTCCTCTACCTGATTACAGGACATTGGGTTATGTCGCTTTTATGCGTTCCATATCTATACTACAATGTCAAGTTGTAAGTTCTCTTTTCCTTTAGTGCAATGGTGAAGTTAAATTTCTTAATGCATTTACAACAACAACAGCTACGCCTCAGTCCCAAACAAAATTTCTTTATGCACGTATGTTTAAGAAAGTGCTCAGATGGCATGATTCACTGTATACAAATTACCATGTTGATCTTAAAATTTCATTGGCTTCAAATATGTTGGAGATGGTTTAGGTCATATTCCTCCATTTATGCACATTCTTAGTTATTCTCTGCAGTATTACTACCTCCGTTCCTTTTTACGTGGCTCTATTTTCTCATGAGTCCTTAAAAAATAATGATATTTTTATGTATTTGAAAATATATTAACTTTAAACATCTCATTTTACTCTTAATGGCAGCTTTTATAGACATAGAAATCTCATGGCATATTTACGAACCACAACTTCCAAAAGCCTTTATTTCTTTGTTAAACTCTATTTCCAGTCAAACTACACCCCATAAATTTTGACGGAGGGAGTATTTCTTATCATTATTTTTATAGATGCTTGTATGTAACTAAACACACTAAGTTTCCTTTCCTTATTTATTGATGGTTTTTGTGGATCTTCATTTGTCCATTATTCTTTGGAATGGAGGTCGGATCAATATGTTTCTTTGCTAGTTTAGCTTACACTAAAACTTTTTTCTGTCTACTTTTCTTGTGGTGTCTCTAGATGGATATGTTACTTGAGTTCTTTGAGATAAAGTTTTTAAGTTTCAAAGCTGCACTGACTTTAGAAAATCTGGGCCATAATGCGTCGAGCTTATCTCAAGTTTCATCCAGATTGCGGGCATTAAGGCCTAGGTGCAAATGTAGCATACAGTTGCAGGTCTAGATTTCGATTTGTCAACCTACCTACTGCATTAAAGCTTTGACTAATGCAGGGATGATTCTTGAACGTCGGGAGTCTCAAGTCTTACCTATATACTACTAAAATCCAGGTCTTAACTCCCTACTCTTTGGTTGACCTGTTGAAGCCTTGTGTCTACTAATGGTGCCAAAGAAGAGTGCACTGACTTGAGCAAACTTGGGCTCTAGCGAATTAAACTAAGGTTACATAACCTTCATTGGGTGAATGCAGTTATTCTTAGAAAGGCATTGTTCATGTCTAAAGTTTCCAAATAAGATCGTGATGTGCCCATTCAGTAAGGTGAATGTGAGAGATAAGATGATAAAAAGCAGAAAAATATGATAAAATTCTGTCTCTTCCTCCGCTTCTGCATTCCTGTTATTCTGTTTCTATCATTTCACTTTTAAGTGTTTTTGGTTAATGGATTTTCTGGTGTTCGGACGCAACTATTGGACTAGAATATATCCATTTGTCTCTATCCACCTTGATTAGATTGCTTTTCCTTTTCTGTTTGCTAACTGGCAAAATTTGCTTAAGTGTTTGATGGTTTACTGCAAATGGAAGTTTTCGTTAACCTGGTTATAAATAGTAAGTGGTAGACATTCCACAAGTGACTAGTAAACTATGCCTCACTAGGCACTACTTGTGCTTGCCAAATAACTTAAGTTAATGCATTTAATTAAATGCCAAGCTAATTTATCTGGTGCACTTGATCATTACATACATGTTATATGTACTCTTCTTGTTTTAGGTACATGCAAAGACGGCACCTTGTGGATGTTACTGAGATTTTTAATATGCTTAATTGGGAAAAGAAACAGAGGCTTTTCAAACTTGGCAACATCGTAATTCTTCTCCTCATTTCATTATTTTGGTAAGTTACTGTGTGCGAAGCTCTTTCTTGCTATCAAGGATTTTTTCACCTTCTTTAGCCGAGGGTCTATCGGAAACAGTTACTCTGCCCTTCCAGGGTGAGGATAAGGCTGCGTACATCCTACCCTCCCCAGATCCCACTTGTGGGATTACACTGGGTTGTTGTTGTTGTTGTTGTCGTACTATGTGAGAAGCTCTTTGATTGTTAAAGAACTTCTAGTCTATGTTGCGCGGACTCTCCAAAAATATTGCAGCACCCGTGTCTTATCCTCCAAAAATGCACTTCTTTTGGAGGATCCGACATGCAGCCAGCGACATTTTTGGAGAGTTCGAGCAACAAAGCTTCGAGTATGACACTACTGACTAACTCCATATGTTCATTTTGTAGGGTGATTTATAGTGCCTTAGAGGATCATGATGATTTTTAGCTCTATTTCGACAAAGTATAATTGCCACCAACTCTGGCAAATATGATCTATATTCTTTGGTGTAACTTGGCCTGTCCTAGTTCATTTTTCTTGGAAGTTTAGAGTTAACTAATGGTAGATTAGGCAGCAGATCATCTTCTTATATGATTTGAGCTTCCTCTAACCTTGTTGCATTTTCAGCTTTTGAGCAACCATAGATTTTTTTAGGATCCATATATGCTGTGAGGTCCGAGTTCTCGGACACAGAAAACCTGCAAGAAACAAAATTTTGGCTTAAACCATGGTGTAGTTTGTCAGCCTGTTTGATCCTTTTGTGTTTGATCTCCAGTATTATTACATTGGTGAGATTTGAGAATGCAATTCGTAGGATAATGGATTTTGAGTTCCATTTTTCTCTCTTTTTTAACATTGAATTGGAACAAGACATGAGATGCAATTCATTGATTTTATCTTGATGTCATCTTTTGTCCGCTTTACCTAGGGGTGTTAATGGTTCAGTTCTGCCAATTTGTATCATACCAATTGTATGGATACTCTATTTTGCATAATTAAAAACTTTTCAAAACTGTCCCAATTATCTCTGTTTTTCTTAGGCATCGGTACAGTTCAATTAATTTTCGATAACCGTGTCACATGTTCGCGACTTGCCATAGAAAAAACCTACGAGTAGTATTTAAGTAGAGAAGAGTAGAAGGTGCGCCCACTATCCATAGAGTTCCGAACCATGTGTCGCTCAAGATTAGCTTTAAACGAACAACACAGAACCAATTTTATAATTACTCTATTTTGTATAATTAAAAACTTTCCAAAGCCGCATTACTCTATTTTGTATAATTAAAAACTTTCCAAAGCCGCCCGGTTTCTCTTCGGCATCGATACGGTTCGGTTAATACATAACCAACTTGCCATAAAAAAAGCCTAGTATTTAAGTAGAGAATGATAGAAGGTGTCCACTATTTATGGAGTTCTGAACGACGTGTCGTTCAAGATTAGCTTTAAACAAACAGTACAAATAAGCATCAACCACTGATCAAGAAGACAATCAACGCGAAAGTGCTTCAAAACTAAATTCCAATCTAACTCTTACAAATGATCGCATTAACACTATAGAATTGATATGACAAGTTTGGGTTCACCTCTACAAAGCATTCAAGAAGTCTATTTGCACTATGCAACAAAAATTAGTAAGGTTGAACTACTATATCTAAGTAATCTTTGAGCTATGTCATGGTTCATCTTCATGAGCTTTTTCAGCGGCTTCTATCTCCGAATCAAGCTTGTTGATTAGCTGCTCGCTTACATGTTTTGCCACAGATATCATGTCAAGTATGACACTAGGATCTAACCCGATGCCTCCTCGTTTGGTCAACCCACATACTAACCCTTGTCTATTAACAGAAATAGAAACAGCCGAGTTCATTAGGGACTCCTCCTCTGAAGTTGCATCGACAATGTAGTGCCTTCCAACCTACAATTATTGACGGGACAATGTCAATGTCGCATGTAAATTGGCAGTTGCGCAAGAAAGCTCAAAACAGAAGGCTGGCTTCAAACTTCAATTACCTTTATCAAAGTAACTATGACTGGTATTCCGCTGGTGTCAAATTGCAGAAATTCTTCATCACTAACATCCACATCTGCCTGCTCATCGGATGAAGCAGCTTCACGAACCTGAACTCTTGGAATACCCGTATTGCTCAGTGCAGCCTGAAGAACATCAGTCATAGAGATAATAAGACATTATTAAGAGATGCATCCATCGCCAAACTGCACCACTGCTCAAAGTGTCAAAAGTCTCATTTAATATATTTTCTTTCTACATTCCCATCTTTCCTTGCAAAAGCTTCTTGATTAATCATAATCAGAGGCGGAGCCAAAATTTTAACTTTATGGGTTTTGGCTTTTAGACTTCAAGTGCTAATAAGTGGTTCTAAATTTTAACGTGTAAACATTTAATGAATTTCTTAATACAAATACTGTGTTTGAACAAAGGCTACTAGGTTCGGCTGGACCCGTATCTAGGTTCCTACCTCAGCCCCTGGTCAGAATAAGGGGAATAGTGCTTTCATGTAGCATTCTCAAGCATCACAGCATCTCTAAAAACAGTCAAAGCAAGTAATTTTCGCCATTTCTTTCCTTGTTAATACAAGATGACAAATTATTAGAGTATACCTTGATTGCAGCACCTAGTGCGTCGAGAAGATTCCCGCCAGAACTAATGACAAGGCAATCAATATACAGATCCCAACATACTTTTCCTTCTTTGATTGAGAGAGACGACGGATCTATTCCAGCCCCTGCGAAATGAAATACACCACAAGATTATCAAGTTGAGAGGCACATAAGTGTAACCTTACATCTAAAGTTGGTCATGGTCAACAGCTCTTGACATTATATTTTTTTTCATACAAAAGTCGGGTTTTCCTTTCCTTTTTAAAGTGAATACCTGCTCCACTTTTACCACCCAAAAGACACCCCTCAAGTGCAGCTGTGAGTTCTGCGGACAATTCCTCGCCTCCTCTGCCCTGCATGGATCAACACACAGGAAAAACTGATAACTAAGATTGGCGCTTAAACCAAATTTTCTACAATAACTATGAAAAAGATAAAAATACTTGCAGGTAAACCGAATCCAAGTACAGAACCTCAAACGATGGCTCTGCTGTGGGACTGCAGTCGACGTGAATATAAATTTTCCCTTGGTCAGGATGCGCTTGACTTGGTTTTCCAAGTTCCGCCTGAAATAAGAATTTAATAGGACAAATGAAACAACTTACATGACAAAATTACTCATCCAATGATTATCAAGGAAAAATCAAGATAGCATAGAGCATGTGTTTCAATGTATGGATTGTAATAATACCTTGACACCGGCAATAACATCAGTTGGACCCAACTTGATTCTTGCAGATCCATTTGCCTTGTAAGAACAACAAAGTTCAATATTGAGCTTGAGTTGTTGTAAAAGAAACATTCAACGACGGAAAGCTGATATAAAAGAAAAGGATTCTACCTGAGGAATAACACCTGTTTCCACATAAATTGGTCGATAGGTTAGTCGCTTTCTACCATCATTGCGCATATCCTGGGCAATACCACCCTTAATAAAGTTTTTTTCTCCAATAGATAGCCCTACCATCTCTGCAGGTGAATGAAAAACTATACACAATTACTCCTTATACCACTTCATAATATTGGCAGAAGGATTAGGGTAAATAATATATAGGGATGGCAATTAAGGCGGAGCAGGGCGGGGCAGGTCTTGACCCACTAAGATTTTAACCCACCATGCCCCGCCTCATTTAGCTTTTTTCAAAATTTTGCCCGCCCCGCCCTGTCCCCTTTAGACTCTCTTTCATTTTTTTTCTCTTTATTTTTTATTTTGCAGTGTGTTTAATTTTTGTTACTTTTCAATTGTCTATTGAAACATTTAATATTGACATGTCAATAAGTGTTGTTTATGTATATCGATTGAATAAAATATGACTTTTATCAATGTTATATTGCTTATTAACGAGTAAATCTCCTTAAACTAGCGCTTCAGCCCAAGTAAATGGCTAACTGCTTAAGTCACCTTTGGAACTGTTTGTTTACTTCAGTTATCATATTCCTTTATTAAGTTAGTAAACTTTGTAAAATTGCACGACATCACTTTCATTCATTTCATTTGCTATTTTAAAATACAACATCAATTTATTAAATTCAATACAATAATAACTAGACGTAGATTTTCAAGTTTTGAAAGTTAAAACTAGTTCGCCACCAGCCAATAGCCCATACTCTGAGGTTATATGATTAAGTTAATAGGACACCATAAACTAAAAATGACCAACTAAAGGGCAGCCTGGAGAAGGGCCGCTGAAAATGACCAACTAAAGCTCCGGCTATGCGCGGAGTCTAGGGAAGGGCTGGACCACAAGGATCTATTGTACGCAGCCTTACCCTGCATTTGTGCAAGAGGCTAGAACCCGTGACCTCGTGATCACATGGAGATAACTTTACCAGTTACGCCGAGACTCCCCTTCTTGACTTGTAAATAACTATTCGGCCTAAAACCAGCTGTACACTATTAAGCAATTTCAGCAACTCCAACGTTCCAATTCTCACCTAAATCTGTTTCAAAAGGAACTCAGTTTTCTTAAGCCACAAATTCCCAGTAACGGTTTTAACAAAACTCAGCAATTAACTGATTCAAACACTCACAAGATTGTCAAAATCAGTTCAATTTTTAACCAAAACTGGTTTAAAACTGCAGCTAACAAAGAAGAATTATAAGTTATAGAACTTGTCAAACACCAGGTATACAAACATAGTTGTTGCTATAAATACAAAAAAGTTTTCCCTCTGTATTTTTGTAATTCCCAGAAATAAGGAGAAGCTAAAAAATGCCAGAAGCAAAAAATAAGTTCAGAAAAATACCTAGAGAAGCTGAAAGTAAAAGAGCATTACCTTGTAACTTATTAAGTTGTTGGGGATTGAATTTTGCCTGGAAGAACTCGAGAACTGAAGAGAAGAATGGTTTCCGGGTTTGAGGGTTTCGGCCGTTGGAAGAGTTAAACTGCCGAAGAGGCTTTATCGGCGGTGACCGGCCGCCGGCGGCAGGATTAACTAGCGGTTAAACCCTAACTTCCCCCAACTCTGAAAGCAACTGAGCAAAAGGCAGTCCTAAACCCTTTTTTTTTTTTTAATTCGGAACAATTAATATATATATATATAGATATAGATATATATATATATATATAAAGTAATAATAATAATGCATGTATAATATAAAGAAATTTGCATAAAATTACTATTCACTACTAAGTACTATATATTGTACCTGTGTAACCATATTTAAGTTTATAGCCACATAACCCATTATATCTTTATAACAATATTATACATTTATTATAATATTGTATAGAAAATTAAATTTTGTCTCCTACAAAATTCATTAAAAAAAAACATGATTAAATAGCTAAATTCTTTATGAATAGCTTCACTTATAAATTCCAAATGCCATATGCAACCAACACCAAATATTAATTTGTCAAACCGTTTATGAGTTTTCAAGCTTTGAAAATCTTTTAAAATGGAATTCTTAAATTTTCCTTTTAATTTACTAAATAATATTTAAATATGTGATGATAAGCGTGAATACAACAACAACAACCCAGTGTAATCCCACAAGTGGGGTCTGGGGAGGGTAATATGAACGCAGACCTTACATCTACCCCGAGGGACAGAGAGGCTGTTTCCAGGATAAGCGTGAATATCACTTACAAATCAGTTTTAGACACATATCTTCTTAATACCCTATTAATAGGTTAAAAAAATTTATATTACATGCAAAATATGCTTAATTGGATAAGAAAAAATATAGATTAGAATTGATTGAGAAAGTATCCCACATTTACTTTCCCGTAGTTGTTTTAAAAAAAAAATCGAACAATAATCGTTTATTAGTTATTCGTATGATTACTTTTTCTTATAAAATGGTATATCCTGGTTAAATCATATATCGCTTATGTGTTATCTAGAAATTATTTATTATTTATTTATAATCGTCTAAGTGATTTTCGGTTGATCACTTACTAGTTATTACTGAAGGATTGCATATAGGTGTTCGTAACACGCAGCGGAAGACAATAACAATCCTAGGCAGATCTTTTCGTGTTTAAAATTTATTTACATGTCAATAGATCGGATCTAAGACGTACCTGGTGAAGAAAGTTTCGTTTCAAATTCTTCGATAATGCGAAGACTCTATGCGTATCCACACCGAGACTGATCCTTGCTATCAACTCTTTGATCAATGAAACCCGCGAACAAATTGATTCAAAAACTTGTGCTGAATTTTTTCTCAAAAACTTCGAAGCAATAGTAATAAGACAAGAAAACAATTTTCCTCGTCAAAATTATTTCTCTCGATTAGTAGTAACTGAACTTTTCCATAATTTACTATTGAAAATTATATATGATTATAGTGGCCGACGAGTCCTTCTGGACTTACGTAAATCCAACTTTGGATTTGATTTATGACTCTTCATTAATAGTATATACACATTTCTATATACATATAAATATATATGTATATAAATATTAATTATGAGTATCAAATATATATCACATATATATTTCATTCAAGAGATATAATTTTTTTCTATTCCAAATAGAAAACTTCAATTTATTCACAATATTAATTATATCCTTTGTGCTAGCAGAGAATATAATAATATTTCATTTGGACTAGTAACTAAATTTATTTGACTAATTAAATTCTTTAATTTAATTATCAAATAACAAAGTAATTAATCCTTTAGCAAAGATCAGAACACTCGTTAGTGTGCGACTTCATAGGTTCTATACTAAGCCGGTAGTAAATTGATCACATCAATATACTAATCAAGGGTGGCGTCTAGCAACACTCCTTAACGACCGGATAATATGAAGTATACAATTTACTCTTACGAACCAGTAGAAGAATAATGTAGTAATTCCTTCTGTCCTTATAGCTCTGGATCACCCTAGGATATGGTTCAACTGTCAAATCCTAATAGGCGACCAATTATGTGTTCATGTCAAATATAATCGACCATCAAATGACCTAAGAAACTCATTTCTTCTTTCATTCAATTGCTCTGGCCAAGGTCTTAATTTCGTCGTTTATAATTCATGACAACATGGAGCTTAAACTCATTACCAAGAGTTGATAGATTCCATCTTGAACAATGACTAATTCTATAAGCATTTAATCATACCCAATATCCTTTCAACTATCGCCCTAAGGCCATAGGTGTCTAGTATCAAAGCACAATAAATAACTTGTCAATTACTATGACGATCTCAGGTCAAAGAAAATGGTTACATCACATTCTTCAAGAGAATATCTTATTGACAGTTTATGGTAATTTTAACCATTAGGAATTATCCAATGAGTCGGTTCAATGATCATATCTCTATATGCATCATCTATCTATGTAATTTAGTTAATGAGATCAACTAATCTTTATCCAATAAAGACGATCACATAAATATTGATCTAACCGGATCACTAATGTCCAAGTTAATAATCCTATGATCAAGAACAAATTTAGATTAAATTGTAAGAGACTTTGCTCTCATTATCATGATCTCTATCACGATGACAAATCTCAAAATTTAATCAAGGACCTTATCAAATTAATCAAACAATTAATAATAATGATAAAAGAATATCAAATGCCATATATTTTATATCAAATAATGTTCACAAAAAATATGTTCAAATCATCAAATATGATATTGGATCTAGGGCATATCTACTTTATCCCTAACAATTACTAGTATCATTTTTTTTATAAAGTCGAAAATCCTGATAAAATCATAGATTGCCTATGAGTTATCTAGAGATCGCTCGTGTATTATTTATAATCACCTAAGAATCTCTGATTGATCGCTTATTAGCTATAAGTAGGATTATGTTTTAATGAAGTTGATCCTGGTGAAATCACATGTGTTATCTAATTGCGCATGTATTGTTTATTATCGTGTAAGTAATCTTCAATTGATCGCTTATTAGTTGTTATTAAGATTTTTTTATATCAAGTGAGAGATCTCGATTAAATCATATATCGCTTATATGTTACCTAGAAATCTCTCATGTATTATTTATAATCGCCTAAGTGATCTCTGATTGATAGATTATTAGTTGTTATAATAACTATATTTTATAAAGTGAAAATCTTGGTAAAATCACATTTCACCTATGTGTTATCTAGAAATTACCCATATTATTTATGATTGCCTAAATATTTTCCGGTTTATAACCTTTTAGTTATTACAGTGATTATTTTTTTTAAGTGGGAGATCCTGGTGAAGTAATAGATTGTCTATATTAAATCTAGAAATTATCCATGTATAATTTATGGGTGTCAAAGTGATATGCGATTGGCCGCTTATGAGTTATGAGTTATTATTAGGATTATTTTTTTTTTTATATAAAATAGAAGATCCTGCTGAAATCATAAATCGAACCTATGATTTATTTAGAAGTCTCAGTCGCTCATGTATTATTTATAATCACCTAAGTGATCTATAGTTGATCGTTTATTAGTTATTACCATGATTATTATTTTATAAAACAGGAAATCCTGGTGAATTCATAGATCGTCTGTGTGTTACATAGAAATCACCAATGTACTAATTATTATCACCTAAATGATCGAAATGCATATATTATACGAAAAATAAATAATACGTGATTGCTATGCGAGAAAAGACAAGAGGGGTTGCTCTGATGGTAAGCAACCCCCACTTCCAACCGAGAGGTTGTGAGTTCGAGTCTCCCCAAGAGCAAGGTGGGAAGTTCTTGGAGGGAAGGATGTCGGGTTTCTATTTGGAAACAGTCTCTCGGTGGTTGTTGTTGTTGTATGTGAAGAATAAATAATACTAGAAATTATTATGCGGAGAACAAATTATTCATGGATTGTTATATGCTCTTATCCACGTATTACTAATACACATGATACTTACCCCATGTTCTATCCTATATATTTTTATATCTAGATTTTTGTACAACATATACTTACCTCTAATTTCCGGTATTAAATTTCGTATACGGACGCCAGACGGTTAAGAGAAGGAAAAAACACTTCCCGGCAGTTATAGCAGTTCACATCACCAAAGGATGTGGTGCAGTGGATGAAACGCTTCCCCCCTAATGGGGCCCTACACGGGCCTAATCCGAATATAATCGGGCTCCAATGGAGGTATCAGACACCAGGTGGGAAACCAAAAAAATCTATAGCAGTTCACACACATTCCATGAAAAGAAGATGATCAATCTTACCTACTAAAACTATAAAGCCTTTAACTAAGATGAAATTCATTTCTGGGACCAATTATACATCTAAAATTCTACAACAAAAGACCAAAGAAAAGAACTAAGTGGAAAACTAGTTCAAATTACTACACAAACCTCGTCGGAAAATGACATGCTCCGGTAAGAGGTTGACAGACAAATTAACAACGAATGGATGGGAGAATTAAGGATCAATATGAACTGTGAAAGATATACCTTATGCAGGTAGAGTTACATTGATGTCAGCTGGCTTATTTCTTGAGTCGGGAGCTAACGACGATGACCAGTTAATCGAGGAAGCCGGCATAATTTGTTTTGCAGAAGAGTGATTATAAGAGTCTTCATTTTCTGCACTAGATAGAGGAACAGCAGCTATTATAGGCTCCAATTTGTTTTTCTTGGTGGTCTGCTGGTGTTGATTTCCAGCAAGAAAGCTGCCTACAACAATCTGATTGACAGCAACAAAGAAAGAAATATGTGAACTGTTACAACTGGAAGAACAACTTATGAAAGAGCTAATTTGGTTCGGAACATCACGAGAATACCAGTACATATTTGTCAAAGTAGTTTAGTTTCTTGTCCACTGACCGGTGTAATTAAAAGCTATTGCTTAGCAAAGCAGGGGTTTATCACTTCATGGGCGAAGCCATGCGCTGCAAAATGACGAGCAAAGCCCGAACGAAAAAAGGTCGTTTCTATGTATCTCAATTTGGAGGTGCTGAATTAATATTGGCATTACTGAATATAGGATTCTAAACTTAGTTATTTCAGTTTTAATTTGATTATTCTAGTGCTAAATTCATATATATGCTTGGTATCTTTAGTTTTCCGGAAACTTTCAATTCAAAGAAGTGTAAACTTCACTTCTCATCGCTTTTTGCTTCCCATGGACTTTGTCTTTTTTTAGCTTTTTTTGGGGATTTTTTCGCGTTTAAGAACACTATAATTGACAATGTAAAATAATCTTTACACATTCAAGTTACACATTTAGTGTTGGATGGGTAACCTAGAAAAAAGAGTAGATAACATGCTGCAATTGGTCGAACTACACAATTCGTTTTGGATGGGTAAATCAAATTATTGCCACAATATGCACAATGGGATTCCTTAGTAAACGAGCATACTGAGCATAGGGGAAACGATACCTGCACTGGACTTGCAGCAACTAGTAGACCGGCAACTCCACCTCCAACAACACGTCCATCAGGGCTTGCTAGAGAAACACTCATTCCGCCGGATCTGTTTCTCATTCCTCCCGTCTCAGATGGCATAAATGATCCAGTCAATGACAGTATCTCAAACCGGCCCTACACGATCAATGGGAGAGGACAGTTACGTACAAACTTCAACCAGAGTAAACACGCGCAGAGACAATGCCTTCAATCAATTCTCCGAACAGGAACAAAGGTTTAATCCCAGTATTACAATCCCTGTATTATAAACCCAACATAATTTTTTCCGCGAACTAAACAACCCCTCAAAGTCAAGTAGATAGTGGCTTCTACATAATCATAGTCAACCGATGATGTATCCCTCATGATAGACTTGTACACTTAGTAACTAGAGGTAGACTCAACCCCATACAAGAAAAGGATGATAAAATTTACTTCCTCTGGAATTTAATGACCTAATTTGACTTAGCACCATTATGAAAATGGCCTAAAATGGCAGGGACACTCAATTAGGATGACATTATTAGATCATGGTATGGTTTCAAGCTATGTAGCTCGAACTCGGTCGCGGGTACCCAATACGGGTGTGGATCTAAAGGTTGGATTTTTCATCACTTAGATTTTAAGATTCGGGGGTATGAATCTGAGTGCAGATGCGGATGCTGGGATAAGGTCAATAAATGTATACTACGACATATATAAACATATATTTCGATCAATTAAACTTATTGAACTAACACTATAAACTTTAATTCTTTATAAACACCTAATATTTTATTCGTAAGCTATCTCGTGTAATAGTAAAACATTAACATACTTTATATAACCCC